CACCCTCAACAAAATAAAAACAAATTTTGCTATGAAAAATGAAGAGTATACTGTTGGGCACCATGAAAAATGAGGGAGCCACTACAACTTCAATGTTTAAACATAAAATGTTTCAATGCAACAACTGACACTGCTACTCCCAATAACAATTGTAGTTAACTTTTGAATATATATTTGTAAACATAAAACATCCTCAACAAAATAAATAAATAAATAAATAAGTAAAAAAAAAAAAAAACTACTACGAAAAATGAGGAGCTCAGTACTGTAGTGGAGAAAAATGAGGGAGCCACTCACAGTTACAACTTAAAATGTATAAACATAAAATGTTCAAATTTAAACTTTCAAAATGTTCAAAGAATTGCATTGTTGCAACATAAAATGAAGTAGAGTCATGTTGTCCAAATTTTTCATGCACTCATAATGCTATTTCAGCAACATTTAATGGGTAAACAACCAAAATTCTGAACATGAACTGTTACGCCAGTCAAATAACTAGCTTACTGCATGGCCACTACTGGTCAATAAAAGTTTTCCATTCGGCCATGCTCTTTTTGTAGGATGATGTTAGATCTCTCTCATGGATTTGGTCCAAAAGGACCTCTGTCTGTATGACTGACAGCAGAGTGGCCACACACTTTGGGTAAGTAAGATGCAGGGCATAATAGTATGCCATGAGGTATAAAGCCCCCTCATCAACCTTGTCTTTCGGAAATGTTGTGATGGGCACGTCTCCTACCGCGAGCAGGCAGTTGGATGAACACACAATCAGAATTGGACAGGAGAGAGGGCGCTTCTTCAAATAGGCATCAGGGTCTTCATTTTCCTTAAAAAAAAAAAAAAAAAAAGAAACAGACCTTCTGTCAGTAAGACATACAGGATCACTTGGTTATTTAAGAACCTGAAGCAGAGAGTTGATACAAACCCAGTAAAATTTTGAAAGAGGTTGAAGGTACAACTCAAGTAGCTGTTTTTTAAGGGATCCATGATTATAACAGAGTTTATTTGATAAACATATATTTTAACTGTGAAAGCAAGACTAAAAATACTGTAGAATGTTCAGTTTTTATAAGTTTTAAACTAAAAGTTTAAAAATATATTACACAGATGGGGCCATTTTATTTACACACAAAGCATCCTGGGTAAATGATGACGTGGATAGGTCCTTGGTGTGAGCGAGCTATATCCACTCTGAAGGTTAATCTTTGACAATATCAGATGATCGACTCTTTTAAATGAAACCAGAGAGCGTTGACAGTGAGGAGAAGGTAGAAATGACTCAGCCTGTAACTGAAAATACAGATGGAGGACAACAGAGCTGCTTCATGGAAGAAGAACCTCAGCTTGTTAGCTTATGTATTAGCTCAGCGCTACACATTCTCCTCTCGTCACTGAGGTCCTCCATCCACATGACAGACAGGGGAAAGCAAAAATGACTCAGCCTGAAAATATGGATGGAGGACCTCAGTTTAGCTTGTGTCGCGCTAGCGCTGAGCTAACCCATTTAAGGCAATATAGTGTCTGCGCTAGCACGAATGCTAACAGGCTGAGGTTCTTCTTCCATGAAGCAGCTCTGTTGGCCTCCATCTGTATTTTCAGTAAAAGGCTGGGTCATTTCTACCTTATCCTCACTGTCAACGCTCTCTGGTTTCATTTAAAAGAGTCGATCGTTACATATTGTCAAAGATTCAGGGTGAATAAAGCTCGCTCACACCGAGGACCTATCCACGTCATCATTTACCCAGAATGCTTTGTGTGTAAATAAAATGGCTCCATCCGTATTAAAATACATTTTTTTTTAAATATAAAAACTAAACAGCGTACTGTATTTTTACAGTATGTATTTTACAGTTAAAATATATGTTTATCAAATAAAGTCTAATGTTACTCATCGATCCCTGTAACTATGCAAAATACATTTACTGCAGTCTACTTTCCCAAAAGAAAAATGAGTGTTACGCTAGCCTTGGTTGGTTTTTATTGAGGGGATAACACATGCTGCATAACACATTTAAACAGACACAAATAAGCACTAACATTTACCTAGTGAAAACTATATTTATAAAAACAACTGTTTTGGGTGTCTCTGAAGAGATAAAAAGGAAAAATTTAGGAAATCAGAGGCTCCTTATAGATTTTCTAATACTTAACTCAACATTATCCAGGAACATTTCACACAGCTCACCTCAAGGACATGCACCAGAGCCTCACTTGCCTCGCGTACTCGTTTTGGAGGAGCAGACGCCGACGGAAACAGCGATGGCAGGACATGAAGGATCTCTAGAGCCTGTTCAGCTGTACAGGAAAAGATTGGGTACAATTGGGTAAAAAAAACAGCTTTACAATGCACACACGTTCAAATCTGATCAATTTATACGAAAACATTTAAGAAATGACTGCTTTCTATACTCATTTTAACCTTGTAAGACCTGTTTACACCCTTAGTCATCATAAAGCAAAAATAACATAAATAAAAAAATAGCTAAAAGTCCAAAACTCATGGACACAAACCCTGATCACAGATAATACCAAAATGTAATTGCTTACCTTTGTCCACTCCCATTGGTAGTTTCAGCATTTTTTTCCATACACCAAAAAACTGCACCTTCTGGCAGAAGTCTTTCCATCGTCCCTTTAGTTCAGCTATGTAGCATGGGTTATCTTTGTTCAGAATGCGTTGAAGCTCATCCATGACCTATTCAATGTTCAATACACCAATTCAGATATTAGAATATTTATCTAGGAGAAGGAAATTGTCTAAACATTGCAAGTTATATCAAGCATTTAAGAATGCAAAGTATTCTTACATGTCCAATGTCCTTGAAACAAGGATATGCTTCTATGATTTTGTTGTGTCTGTCCTCCTCACGAAAACTATGTGAATCAATGAATGCTCTTCTGGCTTGAAATTCCAAATCCAGGAGATGAGACACATCCTGGTGGTTTGGATTCTTTTTTTTATACAACGATTGTAGGGTCCTGTAGTGCTTGGCCGAGATTGCTGGACTGTAGTTGTATGAGCTTTCAACATCTGTTGGCCTGTTAGCTGTAACACATAATGTGGCTCAATTTAACAACAGATTTTTGTCAATTAACGTAATATGACAACCTTTTTTTTTATTAATACAATCCATTTTGTGTAGTTAAATATTCAATAAATTATATTAAAGTCAAATTATTCAAATAAGAACAACCCAAAATTGTAATTACTATTACAACACTAAAATACAGTAATGAGAATCTCGTCGTGCTATCATCGTTGCATTGAGGAACACAAGTACCACACCCCCAAAATAAAGTAGGACAAACTCACTCTTAGAACTGGACAGGAGAGGGAGAGCTTCTGGGGGCTTTGGGGTCGTTTTTCCTGAAACACATAAAGACATATTTCTGTTGGCATGATGAATCATAATGTTAATATTCAGATTGCGGAAGATAAACAAAACAAAATAAAAACAAGACAAAATAAATACAAAACTAAATTCAACAAACTCCTTGTCAGTAGTGCCTGAGTCGGTGCTGGTAGTCTCATCTGTAGACTGGTCCAGAATGATTGTTGAGTCGCTCGACATGGCTTCATCTGTATCATAGGGCTCATCAAGACGGCGTCTCTTTGAAGAGCTGCAAAGATTAGCCAATTAATCACTTCCAACAAATGCTGGCCAACATATGTTAAAGTCTACTAAAGCTAATGACATATTTATTATTGAGGAAATTAATTGTTGCAGCTTTACCTCTTTGATTGTCTCCCACTCTGAGATTTCTTTAGAGGGGACCTCACATTCTGCAATCTTTTGTTTAGTTGCGCAAACACAGTGACCTTAAGAACACATACATTTCATTTTTTAGATCCTCAATAAAAATGTGCAAAATAAAAAAAACTTTGGTCATTAACTGGATGCATTTCACTTACCCATGAATTCTTCAGACCTTGGTCCTGTAGCATGGGGTAATACAGCACTATCCTTTTAGCCACTGCTGTGATTTCAGGTTTTGATGGGTATCTGTGTGATTCTGCATCTCCTTTTGCCCTCAAGATTGCAATCATACTGGTCATCGTGTTTCGGATGAGACGACATCTGAGTTCCTTTGACATTTCACAGTTGCGCTCTTCCCCTTTCTTCGACAATTCAAAGTACTGTTGTCTTACGTGCTCAAGCTCAGTGTCAGTGTGGAGTACATATTCTGGAAAGGTTAATTTCACAACCTTTTCAGGAGTTTCAAACTTGGGAAGACTGGACTTCATTGGAGTGGATGTCTGTTGCATAGGTGACCCATTATTGGAGGAACAGCTCACTAAAGTTGAATCTTCTTTACCAGAATCCTGTACAGAAACAAACAAACAAAAACAATGCAAAACAAAACATTGTGTTCTGATACTGTTACACTACATTGTCAGAAGTATTAGTCTGTGTACATTAACTTTACTGACAATCATGTTGTTAATACATAGGGTCCACTACTTTGAAAGTTGAAGTCAGGACTGTGTGCAGGTCAGTCAGGTTTGTCTCACCAAATTTTAGATACCTGCACCCAAGGAAGTGATTGTAACACATCCAAATTTACTGATATGGTGGTGTGACCCATTTGGAACTATTTTGTATCCCCAGAGTCAGAACCAAACATTAACAAGCATCATTAAGTTCTTGCGCTCCACTAATCTGGAACAAACTCCAAAAGAACTTTAAATGCCGAAATGATGATTTTTTTTTATTCAGACAAAAAAAAAAAGTTTCTTAGATTTGTCTTTCACTGTTCTATTTAAACGGAAAACAAAAACATCATTACCTGTAGTTATAGTCCAATGTTTCTTTACCTTCTGTTATTACACCACTGCAATTGACTTTTTTCCAATATTTTTTTTTCTTATGATTTGTTCATGTAAAGCACTGTAACTGACTTGTTACTGATATACAAAAACATTTGCAGTGCATAGTTTTGGCAATATACTACATCAACCCAAAGTGCCACAGCCAACTGAAATAGGTTGTTTTTTAAGTCTATGTCACAGAGAAACTGACCTCCTCTGATGCACCATGACAAGCAATCCAGATCGCTTTTCTTCTTAAAAAGTTCTCTGGTCCTGGGAAAAGGTCCCGCAAGTCTTCACGAGACAGGTTGCCCATCATTGCCTCACTGATGTTTGCAGCTGAGAATGTGTTTGAAAACAAAGATGAAACTTGACACATCCAGATTAAGAAGAAAAGACTAAACATAAACTTGGTTTTTCAGTTGTTAAGCTACATAGTTTGAGAAGAAGCTGTAGCAAAGGGCCTTTAGATGGAGGTCTGAGACTGTTTAAAGTAAATTTGTTAACAAACCAGATACAATAAAGAAACCTTAATACCATTAAACTATGCATTCAGCACACATTGCACACAGTACTAGCTTTTTCTTAATTGTACTAGCCACAACAAAGCATTTTTTAACATTAATATTGTTTTAAACCAGTAAAATTGTTTAGTTTATAAATTTTGAAAATTTAGAAGTTTCTTTGATATCTGAAATTTCATAGTTCAATCTAATTTAAATTAACATCTGCAGCTAACTGAACACATTTTTGTTGCTGTCTCAAAGTAGCTGTACGAATGGATGGGAGACATGCATTTAGAGACAAACCAGCAATAACAATTACATGTATTATTGATTTTAAAATTGTATTGTTATTAAGTTTTAATACAAATATAAAGTGGTATTGTTGGTATTAACTGAGATATGTATTAATGTTCACAGCAACAGCAACTCATAAAAGAGTAGTGTTCTCTCCATTGTATTATTGCAATATTTTTAATAATTTATAGCCAAATGTAGCGGAATTCAGTTTTTCTCTTTTGGCGCCGGTGGAGAATGTGCAGTGCAGGCCAATGTCCAGTTAGCATTAGCAACATAGCACTCCCCTACAGCAGCATTAAAATCTCTACCGCTTGCTCTCACACACACACACGCCACTAGAGACGTAAAAACTTTTATGTAATATTGGTATGATCATTACAACAACTTTTTCCCATGTCTCAGTCTACATTATAAACAACTTTGTATAAATACGTTACCTCTTAACGTCGACACAACCGCATCATCTAGCTCATCCATGCTGTTAGCTAATTCCTAGCTAGCTTGCTCGCCCAGCTTCTTCTTTTATTTCGCGTCAGCTGCAACGTTGAGCAATAAAAACACGATTAAACATCGATAGGAATGTGTAATGCGCATTACAAAGACATGAACTCTTTACAAATAATTTTATCGTACTTGAGATTTACGGTAATTTTGCTGGTGGGCGGGTGTCACCATAGTAACGGCTTTTTTGCGACAATCAACACAGTAGTACGACAGCACCTTTTCTGATCCTTTGACCAACGAAAATCTCTGATCCAACATGATTTGGCGCTGTTTTATTTGCTACGTATTTGTGGCGTTGTCTTTGAGACAACTTTTGAGTCACATTAACGTCATGCATAGTCGGAGTCCTGACTTTCGTGTGGTGTGTGGGATTGATGGCTGTCCAAGTGAGTACAGAGTGTATAACTCCTTTTACTATCACGTAAAGCGGACGCACACACACCATCTTCTCAACATTGAGGCAGACGAGGACGAATCAACTTTTGATGGAGTAAATGAAAGAACAGCCAAGAACGAACAAACAAGCACAACTCTACCCGGGGCTGCAGCGCATTCTGCAGTAACGTCAGCTAACAATGGCTCCAGCATCGTCATCGGAACAGTAAGTAATTTATTGAGATCAGCTGGCTGCTCATAGCACATCAAGTACAGTTTGCTTCTTTCAGTGACAACAAACCAATGAGTTATGTTATGCCTTAATTACATTACTCATGGCAAATAATGTGAAGGTAGTTATCTGAACACAGGATGCATTAAGAGACTTTGTAATTACTTACCTTAGATGAAATGTGGATGAGAGCAGAAGAGGTAGAAACACTCACTGCAGTCCAGTCAAGAGTAGTTTTCTGATCATCCAAATTTATGACTAAATCCCGCTAGTTATTGTTTATAACAGGCTGGAAACGGAAGAAGTTGATCTTCGTGTTGCATATGAAGCGTTCAGGGACGGTTTGTTAAAATATGATCAGGCTGAGGTAAATAAGAAATCATGATGCGTTCAAATTACACATCAAGAAAAATTAATAAATTAAAAATAATATTAAGCATTGTGTATTTACACCTTATGAAGACAATATTGCCATGTATTTAAAAGTACTGCAGTTTCATTTTTTTCAAATTAAATGTTACAAGATGCAGCAATTAAAAAAGTTAATTTGTATTTTTTATATAAAACTAGCAACTAACGTTTGTAATTTTCAGTAAGTGGCTCAACACTGGTAGTAACTGGTGGTATATCTGATCATCTTTATAAAATATTCACTTTTACACAACACACACAATTTTATATTATTCTCTTTAAAGGTCC